TTATATAAGGAGCATTATACTGTTACATTATACAGTGTTCTGTGTTACTAAAGTTAAGTCCGCAGATATACCGCTGTGCCACTGGGAAGTGGGGGCGGAAAGAAAGTGGCGGGAAACAAATACTGCTTTCTAGTTTAGAATTAAACTCTTGTGAAGGTAGTTGAAAAAGTAACACTTTAATTTGAATTCTGCGTATATGAGTAAAATAATGCAATGTTTATCTTGTTGATTCTATATGGGTAGAAAATAGTACGGAAATTAATTCAATAAAGACGTATTTCTCGTGACTGAATTATTTGTTGTTGGATATTTCAGTTTCTATAGAATACATATATTTTTTATATATTGTATAAAAGTACGCGTTCATTCTTCACGAGAACCTTCTCTAACACGGTAGCTGTGTCGTTAAAAAACGTGCATAAGCATGAATTAATAACCTTTAGTTTATCTCCGTTTGCAGCACCCCATCTTTCGTGTAACATGTTTCTCCGAATCAAGTTATTTTATTTCTTTCGCTTCTCGTAGGCGTTGGTAACCGGCCCAATTCAATTCACAGATCGAATAAGATTATTTTATAGAACTATCGAATCTCAGTACTGTGCTTAGATATATTCTGCTATCCAAACTGTGGGTTATTTTACGACTTACCTGTAAGGCACGTGTTTCTGGCCGTTGAAAAGAGCAAGAAGAACACTTCCTAAGCCCGACAGCGACAAAGGCTGCCTTGTTGCGACCTCTCGTGATTTGACTTGTTTTTCACAACTTCCAAAGTCGAAGAAATAAAGACGACTTCGGCCTCCAGCAACTAAGAAAAGGTTATTCACCAGATAAGAAAATAAAATAATACAAATGTTGCATACTAACTCGATATTCATGTGGCGCATCTCTGTACACATTGTAAATAAAATACAAAACAATGAGAATAGAAAATCTGTTAAATAGAAAATTAAGAAAATGTTAACATAGATTATTTACTGAACGACAATTAAACGGACTAGTTAGAGTACTCTATGCGTGATTTGTCAGAGAAAAAAATATTCTTACTTGTTATTGGTTTTTATTTGTGTGCATGTAATGTTACACTTTCAGAACGGATAACAGTTTGCACTAATGGCACTTAAGACAATATCAAGTATTTTGGGGAAACCTTTTTTTCTTTGAATAAGTGTCAGGAAATGTAGGCTTAGCTACAAGTAACATATTTTAATAGTTAATGCCACTTCATATCAAATCCTTCGCGATCCTCAAAAGGAAAGTCCAATAAGTAAAATGCTTTTTTCTTCTTCTTAGTTTGGGAATTTGTATTCAGAGAATAAGAAGGTTGATTGGGAAGAAACAAATGAATTTATCTATGTGACCGTAAGTTAGTGATTCAGTGATAAAGAAGAAAGCTTATAATTAAGTCACCCAATACTGCTGTTCCTCTTACAAGATTATCCCACACTGATCAAAAACGATCTTCACTGGCATAATGAGACTATGTTGTAGCGGCGTTGCGCTTGCACAACTATGTTTGTCTAGCAATTGAGCTACAACGACTAATCAGTTCTCTGAAAGTTTCTAAATCTAAAGTCGACGCTCTAATTCTCCTTAATTTCTCAACACGTAACACCACTTTATAATTAAACTAGTGAGATGGATAGAACAAAGGATTTTATATGCTTTAGTGGAGTCACCTCTGCAATTATTTCTCAGTCAAATCAATTCATTGAAATTCTGTAAGGAGTTATACAAAGTAATTGGTCTTTGTGATTTTTCTCTTTGTCATTGTTATTGTGCTACTATATCATTCAATAATTACTATGTTAATTAGTAAAATCTCCTTGGCAATTCCAACGAATGATGCGTACACAGAGTCAGTTATAAGGAAAGAGGAGAATATTAGGGAAATATAATGAAGAATAAGAATAAGAGGAGAGAGGGAAAAGTGTGGGAGAGTAGTTTAGGAAAACAACTCAATGAAATACACATGATGCAATAAACTGCTGGTAACATAGACATCATGGACAAATCAGCCGAAATGTAATTACTTTTATTGTTTCTTAGCTTCGAATATGATAATTATATGTTTTTTTTCATATATAAAAATAAAAAAAACGATAAATATTAATTAATTGTTTGATAAAGGTTGAAGTTCGTCGGTTTTGCAAATCGTTTACACAGACGTATGCTATTATTTGAATATATAAATATATATGTGTGTGTGTGTGTTAGAGGTGTCTTTGCCATATAACTTAATAAGGCTAAGATTCGAACTTCTCCATAATTTACTCCGTTATTACAATACAAAAGAGCTTTACCTCCAACTTTGCTTCCTTTTTCAAATTGCTCCATAATTTAATCCGTTGTTACAATACAAAAGAGCTTTACCTCCAACTTTGCTTCCTTTTTCAAATTGCTCCATAATTTAATCCGTTGTTACAATACAAAAGAGCTTTACCTCCAACTTTGCTTCCTTTTTCA